TTCCACCAAGTTGGGGCCAGTACTGAAAAGGCCCTGGCCCTAGTTGAGACCAATCTAACCACCTTGCGACTTGGGACCTCAAGGTGTTGTCATTTGTGGACCTTAAGGTCCTCCGCGGGGCATACCAGGAGGGGCGGTCCCGTAGGTACGTGGGTCCTAGGCATGGTTTGGACCATTAGTCCATTTGGACCATTAGTCTGGGTCCAACCTTCTCTCCAGGGCCCCTCCAGACTGGTATTTTATTGGGGGTGCATTTCACAACATGTTCTTGACGCAATAGTAGCAGTGGGTTTATTCTGCTTGAGTTTTGTTCTGCGTTGCTTCCCCTATGCGAGCACAATTCCATTCTTTGGAGGGCTCTAGGGCAATGAAAGCGGGGCAAAAATAAACCGGAACATTTGTGGCGTAAAAAGTTGCAGGATTTCAGCCGGGGGATAAGCACTGATTGCAAATGAAGGAGTGTGGAAATAAGATGGTGTGTGATCACTCCAAGAGCATAAAGAGCACAAATCATCATGAATCCACAACGCGGGGAATGAATTCTAGAGAGGCCCTAAGTTATAAAAGAAGAGAACCAAAATCTGCTGGATCATGAGAGGCCATCTGCACAAAACTGTTTTGACTGTTATTCTTATTATTCTTCTAACAGAAGTTGAGATTTGTCACCTAAGAATGACACCCTAACTCCACTTACCTGGGAGTAAGCCCCGTAGCATTTAATAGGACTTGCCTTCTGAATAGACATCAACAGGATTGTGGTGCTAATTGCTACGCAAAATATATATTAAATCAATATAAATTAATGTTTCAGACATTGGGTGGTATCATGTTTAGCTTGGAGCATTTTCACCACTGAATTCTGGTTTCTTACTCTTCCTTTTGCTTTCTCTGCAGGTCATAGCTGTCAACTTTTCCCTTTTCTTGCGAGGAATCCTATTCAGAATAAGGGAATTTCCCTTAAAAAAAGGGAAACGTTGACAGCTATGCTGCAGGTTCACCCCATGAAAGGAACAGCCTGGTGGACAGTTGTGAAGAAAGACATCTGTCTGTCTGTTTCCAAACACATTCTGCATATTGAGGATTTAAGCATCAGGGAAAAACAAAGCTGTCAATCCGGCCGGTTCCCCTGTTTTTGTCCTCAACAATTGCACTTACCTGTCTTGAACAAGAGAAGCCACTTTCTGTACTATTGAAGGGAGTGCCATAACTTGCAATTGGATCAGTCGAAAAGGCTATTGCACATTCTTGGCAGGTGAAAAGACCTTTGCAATATCTTATCGCCACCCCTATTCCCCATTGCAGTTGCACATCAAAACCAAAAAAAGGACGAAAGCTCAATTGGAATCAGCCTTTCCTGATTAAAACCGCTCTTCATGGATTAAAATTACAGTGGTGCCTCGCAAGACGAAAATAATCCGTTCCACGAGTCTCTTCGTCTAGCGGTTTTTTCGTCTTGCGAAGCAACCCTATTAGCGGCTTAGCGGATTAGCGCTATTAGCGGTTTAGCGGCTATTAAAGGCTTAGCAGCTTAGTGGCTAAAAGGCTATTAGCGGCTTAGCAGCTTAGAAAAAGGGGGGGAGCGAAAAAAATCGCAAGACTCGCAAGATGTTTTCATCTTGCGAAGCAAGCCCATAGGGAAATTCACCTTGCGAAGCAACTCAAAAACGGAAAACCCTTTCGTCTAGCGGGTTTTTCGTCTTGCGAGGCATTCGTCTTGTGGGGCACCACTGTACTCTTAACTAATTAAAATGGGTCTTTGCATTAACTAAAGCTTTGGCTGATTAATCTGATAATCAAATTTGCAACCCTGTTCCGAATGGCATGGTGCAGAATTGGTGCCTGAACTGGTATCCTGTTCCCTTCAAATGTCTTTTTCCTTTAGTGTTCTATCTAGTGTTCAACACCATCATACACAAGGCTTAGAGGCAAAGCACTTACTTTGCAAATACTCTCACCTGAAAGACTGAGAGCCACTTCCAATTATTTTAGACAATGGCTACTAGTCAAGATAGCGATGCTCTGATGCTCTTAAAGCTCTGAGCTAGACCTAGAGCTATTGGTCTGGCTTAGTATAAGCCACCATTATCCTGAGTTTATTGATTTATTAAATTTCAAGGCTGCCCATCAGCCAGAGTCTCCTGGGGGCTTTTACAAAAAAACACAACAAAATGCATAAACACAACTCACTTGTTGTTGTTGCTGTTGTTTTAAAAAACCACACACCTCATTACAAAATGCATGAAAAGTCATAAGCCAGAATAAAGTAAAACCACACAGCATGAAAATGGATTAACATAAAGAAAACATTATAAAAACCAATGGGGGAAAAACATTGGAGGAAAAAAACATATTTGATCTACAATATTTATATACTGACTACTAAACAAAGTTCCTTAGGTGGTTTACAATGTAATTAGAATTTTAAAAAGGCCAGAGGGATTGAGGCAAACCTACACAGTTCACATTTTCTGAAACAATAGGTCAACCAAAACACAGCCCTCCTCTGAAAAATTGCAATCCTCTGAATTTTGTAATGCAGTTTGCCAGCCAAGCAGTGTGTACAGAAATGCACACAGTGGGGTAAAGGGTATGTAAAAATGAATGTACAAGGCGAAATATCATGCAGAAATCCATTATGTTTGGGGAAATCGGTTTGCAAAATTTTTGCAAAATTGCATGCAAACATGCAAACATTGGAACAAATTTTCGCTAAAATGCTGGTGGGTTTTCACGAGGGCTCTTCTCTTCCCCTCCAAAACACAGAATGGAGAGAACTGGATTTAAGACTGGAAGAGCGAGAAACTGAGAGATACTGAAATCTACTGAAGAGATAGAAATCTACTGAAGAGATACTGAAATCTACAGATTCGCCCTAGGACCAGGTGACCGTCTCAGGCCAGGGCGTTTGACAATGGGAGCATCGCCCACGAATCTAACCTCTTTTTGCTGGCCTCTTGCCCAGCCTCGTCTAGGTGGGGCAGGGTGGGGGCTGGAATCTGGGGAAGGGAGTGTGCCAGTCACACGCTGCGGTTCCCGAACCCGTAATCATTACAGCAAGGAGTACTGCCTGAGGAACAAGGAACCCAGAGCCGCTGCCAAAACCATCCTGGGTTCAAGGTCGATGCAGATCTTTTCAAAGTGACAGGTTCACCATCAAAGGAGCCGAGCTGTTGCACAACTTTGATTCGCTGCGGGGTGGTGCGCAGGGCCCGTCTGAATTGCCGCCACGTGCTACCCTTGTGCTTGTTCCAATTAAGAAACTGCAGAGATGTGAGAGATAAGGGAGGCTGGAGGAGATGCTGTTGCTCCTTCGTATAATCGTAGACCTGGAAGCAACCTCAAAGAGCATCTAGCTCAGTGGTTCTGAAAGTGGGTGGTACCGCTCCCTAGGGTACAGGGGTTTTTTAGTGGCTGCTAAGAGGCAAGGGATGCAGGTGGCGCTGTGGGTTAAACCACAGAGCCTAGGATTGGCCGATCAGAAGGTCAGCGGTTCGAATCCCTGCGATGGGGTGAGCTCCTGTTGCTCGGTCCCTTATACACAGATGGTGGAGAGGTGGGACGGGCGATTGGTGGTTGCCGCGAGCAGACGATTGTCAGTGGCATTTTTGCGGGCGATTGGTGGGTGCGCTGGCTATTGGCAGCTGCGTCAATGGGGCGGGCGATTGGTGCTTGCTTTTGGCGAACATGCAGACGATTGGTGGCTTCGTCAACAGTAATTAAACATACTTTTACATCTTATTCAAATTTTTGACTTCCATCAATCCTGTCTGAAAATTTTCCAATCTAATCTCTCAGTATGCATTTCTTACTTTCCCTAATACATTTAAAACTCATAACCAATATCTCTATCTTTATCTACTTTGTAACACTTCGTATATTTCTCCTTACAAAACTTATTGTAGTCCTACTAGCGTAATTTGTTGCTCTTCAAATAATTCATATACTTTTTCCAATCTTCTGTAAATCTCTGGTCCCGCAGGTTACGAATCCTTCCTGTCATTTTGTCCAATTCTGCGTAGTCCATTAATTTCGTCTGCCATTCTTCTTTCGTCGGAATTTGTTCTTGTTTCCATTTCTGGGCTAATAATACTCTTGGCGCAGTTGTTGCATATAAAAACAATTTAACATCTTGCCTATTAATGTCCTGACCTATAATACCAAGTAAAAATGCTTCTGGTTTTTTTTTAAATGTATATTTTCAAAAAAAAAAACCCAATGTTCAACAAGTCCAGGCAACCCCCACTCCTGAAAAAAAGCTCAGGAAATGTGGACAACCCCCCCAAAAAGAGGGGTGCATCTTATACACGGGGTCGTGTTATACATGGAAAAATACAGTAATTAAACTTAATAGTTTTTGTTGGATTTTGAATACATGCACAGTTAATTGTTACTGCTTTTAATTTAGTTGTGTTCTTATATTCCTTCGTGGGTCATCCAAACAGCGGTTCTGAATGATGCTTTTTTTGTAGCACGCATTGGGAATGAGTTTATGGAAGCAAGTAGGGGGCAGTCCCCCCCCCCGGCAAAAAAAATTAGGAACCACTGCTCTAAGTTAAGGTGTTTCCAGACGCTTTGGCAATTGTCATCATAATTATTATCATCATCATAGCCGGCGACTGAGATGCTTCCCCAAAAGGTTCAGATAGGATCAGCTGGACTATTTCCTTCATCTCCCAAGTTTCTTCTCACGAGGGAGGAGAGGATGGAAACATCTGAATAGATGTTGGCATTTAACGAGCGAAGAATCCAAAAAAAGGAAGGAAGGAAGGAAGGAAGGAAGAAGAAAGAAGAAAGAAGAAAGAAAGAAAGAAAGAAAGAAAGAAAGAAAGAAAGAGAAAGAAAGAAAGAAAGAAAGAAAGAAAGAAAGAAAGAAAGAAAGAAAGAAAGAAAGAAAGAAGTCTCAGAAATGAAGGAGTTAAAGTTTTCCGGATTTCAGCCCCTCCTGCTGCTTTGCTTAAGAAAACTTGGGGGGGGGGGAGAGAAGAGAGAGGTTTTTAAAGGCTGATTTTTTAGAAATTGTGCTCCAGTGGTTCCTTGCTTTCCCTGAAGGAGGCATTATTGCTGAGTCCAGGGCACCTGGTTCTGCCGGCAAGGACCAGCGCAGTTCTCCCAGGTGGATGGCCAAGAAGACGTCTGCAGGCTGACGACTCTGGTCTTTGCTCCCTCCAGAAACTCTCCAAAGAGAGGCAGATAGATAGATAGATAGATAGATAGATAGATAGATAGATAGATAGATATCGGGATACATCTACATTTTCTCTCTCCTTTCCCTCGCTCTCTCCTGGCGTTGCATCTTGGGCGGAAGAATGGTTGCAGAAGTCCAAGAGGTTATTTTTGGCCTGGGATGCTTGCTCCTTTATTTAACTCTGGAAACCGATGCCGGTAAGTGAACTGCGATGGAAAGGCTTAAACAAAAACGATAGAAAGGTTCAGGTGAACAGATGGGGAGGCGGAGGATCTGTTGGCTGAAGGAGGCTGTGTGGTGCAGTGGTTAGAGTGCCAGCCACGGACCTGGCAGAGACCAGGGTTTGAATCCCCACCTGGCTATGAAGTTCACTGGGTGACCTGAGGGGGGGGGGTCCAGTCACAGTCCCTCTCAGCCTATTTTACCTCGCAGGGTTGCTGTGAGGATTAAATAGGGAGTAGGAACCCTGTCAGCTGCCTTGGGGATGAATGCAAGAAATAAATAATAATAAATAAACCTGGGCATTCAGTGTGCTGATTTTGACTGCGCAAATATTGTTAAGGTGTTTAGATTTGCGTCTGTTATGAGATTTGCATCTAGGGAGATAAAGTCAGCAAGAGGCAGCTTGACCTGTTTCTATAATACTCCTACAGCACGATGATCGACTGGGGATGCCTCTGATGTGAGACCCGTTTGGATGTTCTTCCTGGGGCCCCTTTCCTTTTAGTTGGGGCTTGCTCTAGGGAGATTATGTGGGCGGATTGTGCCCTATTTGAGCCACATGCATGAGACTTTTTTTGCTCACCTTTGCAACAGCGCTGTCAGGAGAGCACCAACTGAGTCAGATCTCATGCAACCGGATTCAATCAAATTGCTCTTTCCCTCTCAATCTCAGCTCCCGATTTGCAGCAGAGGTGACGCTGTTGCAACAATGAATGGGGAATGTCTCTAGAGCAGGCATAGGCGAACTCCAACCCCACCAGATGTTTGGGACTACAATTCCCATCATCCTTGACCATTGGTCCTGTTAGCTAGGGATGATGGGAATTGTAGTCCCAAACATCTGGTGGGGTTGGAGTTGCCTATGCCTGCTCTAGAGCGTGGGTAGGCAAACTAAGGCCCCGGGGGCCGGATCCGGCCCAATCACCTTCTCACTCACCTCACAGAGTGTTTGTTGTGGGGGAGGAAGGGAATAGGAGATTGTGAGCCGCTTTGAGACTCCTTAGGGTAGTGATAAAGCGGGATATCAAATCCAAACTCTCCTCCTCCTCCTCCTCCTCCTCTTCTAAATCTGGCCCATGGACGGTCTGGGAATCAGCGTGTTTTTACATGAGTAGAATGTGTGCTTTTATTTAAAATGCATCTCTGGGTTTATTTGTGGGGCATAGGAATTTGTTCATATTTCTTTTCTTCAAAATATAGTCCACCCCCCCCCCAAGGTCTGAGGGACAGTGGACTGGCCCCCTGCTGAAAAAAATTGCTGACCCCTGCTCTAGAGAAATTTGTGGAGGAAGAGAGGGCTATCGATGGCTGCTAGCCATCCCTCTCTCACCAAAGCAGAATAGTCTGCCTCTCTTCTGCCTTGGTCAAGACCCCACCTGGAATACTGCGTCCAATTCCGGGTGCCACAATTTAAGAAGGATGTTGACAAGCTGGAAGGTGGGCAGAGGTGGGCGACCAAAGGTCTGGAAAGAAAGCCTGATGAGGAACGGTCGAAGGAGCAGCGTATGTTTAGCCTGGAAAAGAGGAGACTGAGAGGAGATATGAGGAAATGTACTAAGGGCTGTCACATGGAAGAGGGAGCATGCTTGTTTTCTCCTGTTCTGGTGGGTAGGACTCGAACCCATGGCTTCAAGTCACAAGAAAGGAGATTCTGACTAATTCGGGGGGAAACTTTCTGACAGAAAGAGCTGTTTGGCAGTGAACAGACTCCCACAATTGGTGGTGGACTCTCCTTCCTTGGAGGTTTCTAAGCAGAGATCGGACGGCCATCGGTCATGTGTGCTTTAGCTGAGATTCCTGGATTGCAGGGGTTTGGACTAGATGACCACTGGGTCCCTTCCATCTCTAAGATTCTACGATTCTTTCAACCATAATTCTGTGATTAAATGCAGACTTAAAGGAAGGATGTTGTGTTATTTTGCTAAGTATGTGGGTGGCGCTGTGGGTTAAACCACTGAGCCTCTTGGGCTTGCCGATCAGAAGGTCAGCGGTTCGAATCCCCACGATGGGGTGAGCTCCCGTTGCTCGGTCCCTGCTCCTGCCAACCTAGCAGTTCGAAAGCACGTTAAAGTGCAAGTAGATAAATAGGTACCGCTCTGGCGGGAAGGTAAACGGCGTTTCTGTGCACTGCTCTGGTTTGCCAGAAGCGGCTTAGTCATGCTGGCCACATGACCCAGAAGCTGTACGCCCCTCCCTCGGCCAATAAAGCGAGATGAGCGCCGCAACCCCAGAGTCGGTCACGACTGGACCTAATGGTCAGGGGTCCCTTTACCTTTACCAATGTTCCAATATACCATAAATGGACTTGGAAGGATTCAATGGGCAGGATCTGGAAGGGGTTCCCACTGAGGATTTGCTGACATGATTGCACTTTCTGCAGCCCTCTGGGATTTCCTTCTCTCTCTCCTGCCCTGGCAGTATGTGAAAGACTCTCCTCCCTGAAAGAGAGGGGAGTGGTTGTGGGCGGGAGCCCGAGCACCGCCCAGCAGGGGGCGTTGCCCCCTGCCTCCAACTCACCTGGCTGGCGCTCACGCCCCCCCCCCCCGGTGGCCACCCAACCAGGTGCCGCGGTGGGGGCGTGTTCAGCAGCCTTTTGCTGCAGCGCCAGCCTCTTCCTGGCCTCATTCCTCCTCCTCGTCCCGTCACGAGTCACCCACCCTCCACTCCCTTTTAGTTAGGGCTTAGGTCATTGGCCTTGCTATGGACCTTAGGTTGGTCGCCCTGGTTGCCCGGGGGGCCTGGTAGGAGTTTTTCCATTTGGCAATAGGCTTTTTGGTTTTTTCGCCTACCTCGTAGCAATCGTCACAACTTTTGTGGTATCGGTGGGTAGGTTAGGCATTGGAATAATGTGTTGTGGTGTGTCGAAGTGCTAGGTGTGGCCATCGCCTATGCCTTCAATTTTTAGGGGTATTCCGTTAAAGGAATCTGGCGGTCGTGTATTCTGTCCGATGCCTGCTTGGCGGGAGGCCATGGCACGACCCTCGGTGACAGCAGGGGTGAGCCTATAGTTGGATTAGCATCAACAGGTGATGAACCCCTGGTGAATAAACCCACTTGTTTCGATCCAATGCCTAAGCCAATACCTTTTCATTGCTGTAATCAATAAAGTTGTGGCCTTTTCTAGCCCATTAACCTTATACCACGTGTCCTTGTGTCTTCATTTCACTTCGCGGGGGTCGGGCCCTCGAACCACAACTGACTCACTTACAGGAGGAATCTGTTCTGCATTAACTCAACAGGTTCAGATATTTGTAGCTGAGATGCCTGTATTACCCTGCTAAGAGGGAAGACGCGTCATAAAAATGGTTGTTCAGTTTAGTCAGCTTGTTTGTTGTGGGGTAGGAACCAGCGGGCAATGAAAATGAAAATTAAACTGGCAAAAGAGAGACGATACGATAACCTTTATTATCACTGTCCCATACAGAACAAGAAAATTGACAAAATCTACATCAGGCATTCAAAAACCCACAAGCCTGATATCCCAGCTATCCCAGCCTGGTTAGCTCCTAAAAACTCTGATACCCCATAAATGAATATAATATACTCACACTACCTTACACTGCGTTTAAAACCAAAATCGCATTTGGATAGAAACTGTTTCTCAGGCGGCTAGTCCTAGTCTTTATAACCCTGTACCTTCTTCCAGATGCGGGTGGCGCTGTGGGTTAAACCACAGAGCCTAGGACTTGCCGATCAGAAGGTCAGCGGTTCGAATCCCCGCGACAGGGTGAGCTCCCATTGCTCGGTCCCTGCTCCTGCCAACCTAGCATTTCGAAAGCACGTCAAAGTGCAAGTAGATAAATAGGTACCGCTCCGGCGGGAAGGTAAACACCGTTTCCGTGTGCTGCTCTGGTTCGCCAGAAGCGGCTTAGTCATGCTGGCCACATGACCTGGAAGCTGTACGCCGGCTCCCTCGGCCAATAAAGTGAGATGAGCGCTGCAACCCCAAAGTCAGTCACGACTGGACCTAATGGTCAGGGGTCCCTTTACCTTTACCTTCTTCCAGAAGGCAAAAGCTGAAAGAGATGAGGTTCTCTTCCTGGTCAGATCGGATTGTGTGAGCTTGCCTTTCTTGGGTTTTCTTCCTTCATTTGTGGTGCAGGACTATGCGGCTTGGCTCACTTGCATGAGTCGCCAGGAGCGTTGTAGCTCTGGGAAATCATAGAGCGCAAAAAGCTTCTTCTGGCTTTCATGCTGAGGCCCACAGTGATCTGGGCTGAGTGTGAGAGTACCTGTATTCTTGGTTGTTATTGTGGTGGTGCGGCTTCTACATTGCCACATGGGTTCCAACTCTACATTTTGATGATTCTTGCTCCCTTTAAGCCCTGTAGATACCATTTTACATCCTCTAGACCAGCTTTCTTCAACCTGTAGCCCCCAGATGTTCAACTACAAATCCCATCATCCAAGTCCGTGGTGGATTTTTAAATTTTTTTATTTTCAGTGCAAAATTACAACAAAAATTGCAAACATAAAGCCCAAAACAAAGTAGTACAAACAAGAAAAGACAAAAAACCAAAAACAAACACACACACAAACAAACAAACAAACAAACGGAACACACATCTACAAAGAAAAACATATCATCATACTAATCATTACATATACATATTGACTTACTTCCTTTGTTCTGAGACCTCAAAATTTTTAATTTTTCTAAATTGTTTGATGTAAATTACCTCTATCTTTACGCTTTTTGCACCATTTTCCACTTTCTTTAACCCTGCAAAGCTTCATTCGTTACATACCGATATACTTACTCCAGAACAATGGTTTTTTCATATATTCTTTAACACAATCCCATTCTTTTACTATTTTTTGGTCTGATTGTGGATTGTCGGTTCTGGATTATGGGAATTGTAGTCCGACCATGTCTGGGGACCCAAGCTTGAAGAGCTCTGCTGGAGACCACGGCAGCCTTCAGGTGCTTAAATTCCCTTGCTTTCTGTCAAACCATCGGGTCCAACTCATAGTT